TTATGCAATGGATGTTGGATCGCACACCTATTTGGAAAACTGCAGAATGCGTTGTAAACTCAAATTAAGGAGTATGCTTAACGAGACACTTTTCAGAGATGCCTCGGAAAATGGGAATGAAATTAATCTTTTAGAAAGCGGAAAAAGGTCCGTAGTTACGAAAAAAAGAAGTGAACAAGCAGAAAGGGAGAGCAAGAAAACTTGATCAATTCCTTTCTGCACAAGCAGCTTTTCATGTGCTGGTTTCTCACTGTATGTATGAACAAAATGTACTGTTGATTCTAGAAAATACATTTCTGAGAAAACATCTTGTTACTTTTGAATATTTCTCGTAGATCATACTATTATTGTTTAGAAGCATCCACCTTTACCGGAGCCGCTCTTTTGTTCGTCATTTCTCTTTTCCTTTCAGATTTAGAAACAGAATATATTCCTCGGTTTTCAACAGAATAATGCTGGACTTTTACTATTCAAAAGTTCCATTTTCTGTCTATAATTGTGATACGATTTGGGCGTTTTAATCAAAATCAAAATTTAGAGTACAAATTTGATGATTGAAAAAAAGATTTCTCTAATTTAAGATAAAATATTAATACGATTATCAAGCAATATACCGAATGAAAGAATAACACATTTTATTCGAAAAGAAGTATTATTCAAGAAAATCGAAGAAATATTTTCAAAATCAAATAAATATGTTACTATTAGCGGTTATGCTGGTTCGGGTAAGACAACACTTAGGGATGCTGTCACATTGTTCATCGCTTTAAGCGCTTTTCTTTTAATAAAGAAATCCTTTATGTTTTTATCACTAACTCTTGTTATAATGAAGAAACAAATCGTTAAAGAAAATGATCCAGGCTTCATTAAATTATGGATGTTTTAGTACAAGATACATGTCAAGATGATAAAGATATTTATCAACGTTATCTTGCGACAACCGATGTAGATCCGTGCTTAGTATTTGTTGTACTCTTTTAATGAACAAGAACATGGTGCACTTAAAACCCATCGAAACAAACAGAAACGATAAGATAAAATGCTGCTAATGTGATATAAGCAATTCGTGATTTCTTGCTGATAATCTTCAGTCCTTAGAGATTCGTAGTTGAGATAAAGTAATATTTCGTAAGTTCATCGTACTACAAGAGCCTTACGACCGCCTTGTGTTTCTTTCGCTGCAGTAATAGGTATTATCTCTTAGAACTGTATTAGTTCGTCATTTTTTTCATTCTCATATGACCATATTTATTTCTAAAGCTTTAAGTAAGAAAAGGCAGGTAAAAATGTTCTTTGATAGAATTTTATTTTACACGCCTAGTAAAATAAGTTTGATGCTATGTTTTCTTCATTTTGTCGTAAACTGATTGCATGTAGAAAATAAAAATTAATTAAATTCTGTTAATATCGCATACAAATATACTCTGCAGTACATTTTAAACGGTTCATAAGATGGTATCCTCTCGTTTCGTCCCGTATTTGTTAATTAGCTCTCGTTTCGTCCCACACTCGTTTCGTCCCGTTTACATTTCCTATCATTCTACTCATTTTATAACTATTCATTTTTTTCTATCAACTGTATACTAATCAATATTAATATAATTTGATAATTAATACATGGCTTTAT